TTGCTTCCAATCGAGTGGCTAATCATCGGAAACCAATGTAGAGAGACGACTTTGTACGGTGTACAACACGTGTATACGAAGTGTACAGGGGGACAGAGGCGAGGGAAAAAAAAGGATGAATTTTTCGTCGCTCAAGTTCCAGCAATCTCTCCTCTCTCTCTCTCTCTCATCTCTTTATCTATCTCTATCTCTGTCTATCTATTCCAAGAGACGATAAGCCTCGAAGTCGGTCGAAACGCTTGAAACGCAATTACCGCGAGAGTTCGTCGGGCGTTCCACTTTCGATCGACGTAAAAAACGAATCGTCGATCACGATAGACAGGCCTCTGGAACGGTTTGGAAAAAAAAAAAAGGAAAAAAAAAAAAAAAAACACGAGGGACAAAGAGCGTGGAGACGCAACGCTCGACGTCGGCGTGCAATTAATGTAACGCGAAATTGAATTTTCGCAGGGGTGGAAAATGAAGCGGCGCTCGAAAGGGGGATGGAACGCGTACGCGGAAGAATATTTGGTGTTTATGGGTTCAAATATGAAATTAACGATACCCACAGATTGGAAATTCGTCTTCTTCGCTCGTATTTAAATTAATAACGATCGCAAGAAGAGATAAGGTGAATGATCCAGTTGATCGCGGGTCAATTGCTATTAATAGAAATTTGGTGTCTAATCTAACGATTGCAGTGGCGTGTTTTCCTCGTGTGAAAATTCGCTGCTAGAGAATTTGAGTCATTTTTAGAAGGAATAGTGCATTCACTGTATATCTGAGATTTCTGTTTTGAGATTCAAAATTAAAATTTAGTTTTGGAATCTGTACTGCACGCTTCTATGATTCGAATTCGAAAGAGTTAAAAGATACGAAAAGTAAGTTTAAATAGACGAAAAATTCCTCTTTTTCGCTCGTTATTAAATTCGCTAAGAAATTTGAATCATTTTTAGTAGTGTATTCACTATTGAGATTCAAAATGTATAGTTTTAGAATGTGTACTACACTCTTCTATGATTCGAATTCGAAAGAGTTAAAAGATACGAAAAGTAAGTTTAAATAGACGAAAAATTCCTCTTTTTCGCTCATGATTAAATTAATAATAATTGTAAGAAGAGAGCATTGTGAATGACTAGGTGTCAGACGACCTACAGCCACTGCTAGAAACTGCTTGATGACACATCTCTTTTCTTCAATCTAACAATTGCAATGACGTATTCTCCTCTCGTATAAAAATTCTGCAAAGGAAGTCACTTTTACTAAAAAAAATACTGTATTATATCTGTTGAGATTCAAAATTTATTTAACTCACGATAGCTGTGGAATCTGCACTGCACGCTTCTACGATTCGAATTCAAAAGAGTGTTAAAAAAGAGTTGCTGTCGAGGCGCAAAGTAAGTCTAAATAGACGAAAAATAAAGAAGAGGAAAACATATTCGACGAAATTCCTCCGCTCGCGAAAAACTAAGCGCTAAGTTTTTAAATATACCGTGAACCACGTTGCCAACCAAGTTTGTTTAGGTGGCTTTGGTATGCCTGGGTCTCAAGTATGCGCGCGCGATATGTTCGGCTCATAACGCATTCCTCGGTTCGTCACACGTTATAGCGTTTTCCTTCTTTTAAGCACCAGCTCGATACCAGTATAACAGCCACCGTCGAAATAAAATTCTGCCCGCGCCACTGTTCCAATATTATGCGGGAAATATTTCAAACGAACCCCCCGCGATCACAATGGCAAAGGGAGGAGGGGGAGGGATTTGTGGCGCGTAGGAGCGGGGCCCCCGTAGCTCATCACAGCATTTATTATTCAACCGTCTGAAACGGCAATAATGTCGGTCGGTGGTATTTAATTTTCGTGCTGTTGAATCATGGCGCGGAAGTATATCAAAATATATCTCTTATTCATTCGTTCGTGGGATAAAAATGTTGGGAAAATAAAAATAAGGAATGGGGGAGGGAGAGGGGGAGAGAGAGAGAGGAAAGGAAACGGAAGCGCAGTTAAAATCGGCGAGGCGAACGAATTTTAACGCGGGGGAGGCCTACGGCCTCCTCTCCTTATTCCTTCGACGATCTATCCCGACCCAGAAAGGGAGAGCCGACACAGAGAGGCTCGTTTATTTCCTGACAGTCATTTCCTCTCCTTTCAGGAGGGAATCGGCTCCCTGAAGGTGGTGCCCGGAGGGATCGAGCTCAGAGGTCAGGCCGCCGTTCTGGATGCCCTGGTGGCCTCCAGCCTCAGATCCAGACGGGGGAAGAATCTGGTTCTCGAGTCGTGGAACAACTTCACGGCGTCGGCCAGGTCGCGCGATGGCCGATTGCTCGCCCGATTCACAGTTGGTAAGAGTGTAACATATCCATTTTCCAATGTCCAATGTTTTTTTTCCCCCAATGTTCGTGGTTCGATCGAAATGCGGATCGATTCGGTTCTTTTTTTTTTTTTTTTTTTTTTTTTTTTTTTTGCGGTTAAAAAATAATGAACGGACGATAATATCAGAATTGGAAACGAATTCTCGATATAACGATATCCGATTTTCGAGATCGTTCTTTCGTTGTGTTTTGTGCGATCGCCAATTGTTAGAGCTCTCCGATCGAATCTAGGGGAGGGGGAGGGAGGGGACGAGTTTAAATTTGTGGTCGAAGTTAATTCGAATCGCGAAATGTTTGTAATTCACGGTTGGTATTTAATCGAAATGTAGAAAAGTTGGGTGGGTGAAATTGTAGGTTTTTCGAGGCTTGAAATCCTCGAGGAAAAACGAAAAAAGAAAAAAAAAAAAAAAAAGCCAAAAAGCATCAGTAGCTCTGTGGAGAGATGAAAAAAATCCTATGAAAAAACGGAATTTACACGGGTTTGCGAAAGACTTTACAGGATCGCGAAGTAATTCTCTTCGAAATCCCGTTCCCTTTCAAGATGGACGAATATTTCTTTTTATTTCGCTTTTTTTCCGCCAATTTTTTTTTTTTTTCCTTTCCTTTTAATGTCACCGACTATTTTCCTCGTGGAAAACAAAAGGATCAGATATCGATGGCATACAACATACAACGCGTCGTTAATGAAGATGAACGTTTCAGTCACGTTTGTAACTTTAAAGTTAAATCGTCGAAAGTTCCGGCGTATTAACGTCGACGGCGATTAAAATTTCGAAAAAAAAATCTCGAGCAAAAGTCGTTCAATTTCTCCCCCGAAAGGAAATAACATCTTCGACTATCTAAAAGTGTCTTAAACGAAAAAAGAAAAAAAAATTCTTACACATTTACGTATTATATATTCCCCCCTCCCCAAACACAAATATTCAAATAAATGCTACACTTATACACGTATATATACACGTGCAACGACACGAAACGATTCGAATTAATTGCTCGTTCTTCGGGGCGATTTAAAGCACGTCGATTCGAAGCACGTACAATAAATAAGTAAACGGAAGATTCGTTCCGTGTCACGAATAACACGACGAAACTTAAACTCTCCATTACATTCCGTTGTAGAGATACGAAAAAACGTGATTTCCAATTCCACGAGATTTAACGAACTTCGAACGTTCTCCACGAACGAAGATATTTTCCTTCTTTTTTTTTTTTTCTTTTTCTTTTTCTTCTCGCCCGCCCGTTTACTCATTCAATCCTCGGCTCGAGACGGAAAATGGCAGACGGAGTGTCTTTTGTCCACTTTACAGGCGAGGATCGTGTGGACTGCGTGTCGAGAGGCTTCCGGATAACCGACCCTCAAGGAGGAATTCTCTTCTCGGTGGACAGGGAGCAGGTGGTGGTCGGGGCGGAGATGTTGAAGGTGACCGGCGACGGGGGTGCCGTTTTCCAGGGCAGCGTTCAAACGCCTCTGGTCAGAGGGGAATCTGGCCGTGGCCTCAGGTAATCGCGAGAAGAAAGAAAGAAAGAAAGGAAGAAAGAAAGAAAAACCAGATATATCTCGCTCCTCGCTACGAATATAATAAGAGCAGATTTCCTCGAATCTGAAGGGGGCATAAAAATAGTGAAGAAAACGTGGAAGATTCCTCTTCGAGAGCTTTCCATCCCATCAATTCCTTCGTGAAATGTTTGAAAGTAAATAATTCCTTATAAAACGATTCTTGGTAATATTGAAGATTAACAATTATTACAAAGTAGAAAAAAAGAATCAACTTGAAGGAAGATAGAAAGATCGTATGAAAATATAAACAATTTTCTTAAACGTATCATCATCGAAGATAATATACTTAAATGATAGAACAAGTTAACTAGAGTACACAATCGAGATTTTGTTCGAACTAGTCACTTTTGTGCGCCCCACATTTATTTCAGAAGTTTCTAAAAGTGACTTCGACCCAGTTCCGACCACCCGAGCGCTGAATTTTCCATCAGCTTTCTCCATCCATCCCCGATAATCATCCCCGATATACAGGGCGTCGATATAAATAGCGTTTCGATATTCCAATCAACTTTCCTTGTAGCCCCGTGACCGGCTATAAATAATCGAGTCGGATACCGACTGCGACCGACACTCGCGTGGGATTAAACTTCGCGGTAACACGTTTAAATATATAGCGGCGGGCGGGTTCGGTGTGAAATCGTGTAATCGATGGGAATGCTGGTTGACAAAAGCCTCGTAAACCGTTCTTATTCACCGTCGTTTTACGCGCGACGCGATTAAACTTGTTGCTATCCAATAAGAACTAAATTCGTGGAGGAGGCGCAAAAACTCGCCCCTATTCGTCCCCACAAACGTCCCTCGAAACATCCTCATCGTGCAATTTGCATTCTTAATTTGCAAAAATTTAATCTCCTTGCGTATGCAGTCTCCTTCGATCGATTTAACAACGGAAAAGTAATCCACGAATCTTCGAGGATCCTTCCAATATCAAATTTTTATATTGCCAACCACGAGCGCTCCTTAAGCCTGTATTGTCATATTCGAGTGATTTCGAAACATCGATTCCTTCGATTTATCGCGAGGGAAACCAGTCAGTTCGTTGCGTTATATTAGCAAGAATATGGCGTATTACAGGTACGGAAGTTTAGGGAGGGATCGAAGCGGATATGGAAGCGCGGTTATTGATAGTGTCGGCCAATTTACAGACGGATTTACGATTACAATAAAACTTTGCTCGCGCGGAAAATTATATTCATAGGATTGGATTTATGCCAGATATGAAATACCGGAGGAGGATCCGAAACGGGTTTGGAGGCTGCGAGCAATGGGTCGACGACGATGACGGGTGGTGGGGGGGTTGANAGGGGTATTGGAGAGAACGATCGAGAAAGGTGCTCTACCACTTTCTTCTAGAAAAGAAGGATCGATTATTGCAAACCTGACGTTGCAAGTCGGCTAGTTGCCGTATTATTTCGTCGCGCGATATTGCGAATTTTCGATCCCTATTTATCCCTTGCAACTGCATCTTCGAGAAGCTCGAGATTTTGTCCACTTCTTCGTATTATTATTATTAATAACTTGTCTCTTCCTTCGCGTTTCCTGGGTAGTTGATTGAAAATGAATGAAATTCGAGAGGGAATATTTTTTTTTTTTTTTATTTAGGAAATTGGTTAACTGGGAGTGGATTGCATTTTTCATCGTTTTTCTTTTTTTTTTTTTTTTTTTTTCCCAAATACTCAAAGAGATCAATATCGATGAGATACAGTCGGTCGCAAAAGTATTTATTTATTTGCCTCTTTTAGAAAAGGAAGCTTATTTTGAAAAATGTGATTTTGATGAAATTTCGCGTGTACGTAGAGCGTGTAATGGGTTATGCATATATAGAGCAATTTATTTTTTCGATGAGAAAATTACTTTGTGCGCGTGAAATCAATTTCCAAAATTTCATCATCATTTTTTTTTTCTTTCATATTTTGCGCACAACTTCGCGATGGAAATATTTTTCACACGCGGGATGGATTAATTGAAACTTAATTATTTCATAGTTGATTAAAATTTCGTTCTATCTCGTCCTACGACCAGAAATTTGTATTTTAAAAAACAAAAATACTTTAAGAATCGTGATTTCATCCTCTCGAAATTATATATTTTAATAGAAAAAATATATATATATAAAATAACTCATAGAAATGATCATTAACTGATTGAATTGATTGAAAGCACGATAGAAGCATCGCTTTAAAAAACTTTCGATAAAAATTGCATCTTACGCGCGTGAAAATAATTGTTTCCACAGATTGGAATCAGCGACCAGATCCCTGAAGATCAGCGCCCCCCAACAAGTGGCAATCGAGTCGTGGGCGAACGAGATCTCGGCTTCCTGTCTAACGGATCTGAAACTCGAGAGCGTGCACGGAGCGATCAAGCTGGAGGCGAAGACTCTGTTCATGAAAGGGTTGAAGACGGCCAGCCCGAGCCAAGGCCACTCGTCCAGGGAGCAACAGCAACAGCAGCAGCAGCAGCATTCACCGAGGACAGGGTCCTCTCCTCACCAGAGCCAAAGAGACACGACCATCTATCAGTTGTGTGCCTGTGCTAACGGGAAACTGTTCCTCGCCAGATCCGAGGGGACGTGCCAAGCGGACAAATCGATTTGCTAATACCTAGGACCACGATCTAGAAATCTACTGCCATCACCACCACTACTACTATTACCACTATTACCACTACTACTACTACTACTACTACTATTATTACTACCACTACGCCTCGAAAAATGGACGATAGAGGACGGGATCCACTTGGAAATCGGCCACTCGTGACGCGGTGAATTGCGGTGGTCGAAAACGGTGGCGGTGATCGAAATTTGCCGAGAATTTGCGGAAAATCGACGGCAGATGGCGATGTCCAGTCCGAGCCTCGAGATCGGCCTTCCCGCTTTCTCGCGCCCTGTGTCTCCAAATTTTAGAAATTTGGCGCGTGGACGCTTGCACTCGTCGCGTTGTTTTTAGGACTCGTCGTGTTGTTCCGCTGTTTTTTTTTTATCCCGCTATGGATCCCGTGGATGGACGAGG